GAGGGGTTATTATGACTCCTTTGGCTTCTGGAGAAAACCGAGACTCAGAGAAGGCAAGTGTCCGAAGGAAAACAGCAGGCTGCCTGCCCTGCTCTGCTGAGGCGCTAGCCCCCCTGAACTGACCTCGGGATCAGGAGCTCTGGGTCAGGAGCTGCCTTCTTTCAGGCTGGAGGAGTCACCCTGCCGACTGGACGGGGTTGTTGTGGGGCCCCAATGTGCCATGGGGGGGTGTGTCCAGAGCCCCCGCACAGGGCAGATAGTGACATGAAGGAGGAGATGGCCTCTCATCAATCTTCCTCTGTCCCAAACCAGGACGATGGATCTGCTCTGACCTGTCTGGCCCCAAGCAATCAGCTAGACAGGCTTTGCTCTCTTGTATCCCTCAATAAGGAGACCACGTGGCTGGATTCGGGCTCTGCCTGCCACGCTCCCTTCATCTCTACCAGGATTCAGTTGCCCGTTGCATCTGTGTGTCCTGTGAGCTACCGCACTGCCTACAAAGCACAAAGCAAAATCTACCCCAGGCCAGGGCTCCCAGCAAATCTCTGTAACATTCCCAAGCATGGGGAACGGGGATACCTGTCCTCAGACCCAGAGCCCCCAGACTGGCATGGGGCTCCTGAAGGTGATGTCGACCCAGGTCAGCAGATATTTCCCCAATTCTAGGTCTAGGGCCAGCCTTACCCTGCCCCTCTGCAGACAGGATGCAGTGAAGTCTGCAGAAGGCAGGGAGGGGGGCCGGGAAGTGGCGCCTTTTTCCCTCCCTTCTCACCCTCTGGGGGTCCTCGGCTGATGGGGCGGTCTGAATGGGAGGTGGGAGGTGCCCTACCCGTTCCATCTCCCCACGTTTGGGGGCCATCTGGGATCCCTCCCCCACTGGGTGGAGTTTTTGGCAGTCAAGGATAACAACGTCCTGGGGGCCAGGGATGTTTGGGGAAGTCTATGCAGGGGTCACTGGTGGTGAGTGGTGATGTTTTGGGCAGTTTGAAATGAATAGCCGTTCTGCAAGAGAAAGATCAGGCTTTCTACTCCCAATAGAGAGTGACTCCCAATAGAGAGTGGCGGTCCTGGTGACCCACAGGGTCACCGTGTGTCAGCCTGGACTGAATGGCAGTGAGCTCCCTGCTGTGCTTTGCGTGTGCGGGGGCCCAGGCCACCCTTCCTGCGGCCCTCTCCACCTCCCGGTCCGTCTCCTCGTTCCCACCCACCTTCAGACTGGCTCCCCTGCCTGTTGTGCTTGCTAGTACTCAGAGAGAGACAGGGAGCTTCTGTACACCTACGTGGGTGCACACACGTACACGCTTATGCACGCACAAATGGGCAAGCACGCACAGACACACTCTCAAGGGCACGCATAGGCACGTCAAGGTACAGACACACATGGGCACACATATGTACACACACGAGTGTCCATTCTCCCCCACCTGCTCCTCGCAAACATGTGGCCGTTTGTCTGCCACCAGGACAGGGACACTGCCCCATCCCCATATCCTGTGGCTCCTAGGTTTCCTGGACATGATGTCAGGCAGATGGGCAGTGACACTGAGGACACCCAGGGGGACAGTAGGCCTGTCCCTCCTCAGGGCTGAAGGCTCTGGCCATTACAGGGCACAACTCTGGCCCTTCAGGCACTGGCAACAATCACAGGTGGTGACAGGGGCCAGTGGACACACTGGAGTACCAAGGATGCCCCAAACTCGCTTGACCAGAAACCCCAAAGTGAGATTCCATGCTCCCATGGCCGTAGCTGCTCCCCATCCAGACACAGCCTGAGGGTGGGGCAGTGTGGCTACTGTGTGGGCAGCGACGGGCTCAGGGAGGCCACAAGGGCAAACCGTGGTCTCTGCAGCCTGACTGCTCAGGGTCCCAGAACGGCAGTGACTCACCAGCAGCTTAATATAGTACCGCTACGAAGGACAAGGAGGGAGGCGATGAGGTCATCGCTGCTAAATCTGGGAGGTGAGAGGCAGCTGAGAGCTCCCAGTACCAGAGCGCTCCTGTCTCCACCCTAACCTTTAGACATGCATGCCAAGGCACATGCCGCTCTGGGCCTACACACACAGCCTGCTGGGGCCCGAGGGAAGGAAGGCAACACGGTCCCCCATCTCCCCGGGGCCCAGGACACCCTGGCCCAGGCTAATCAGCTGTCCTGTGGAGCTCAGTGAGCGCTCCCTTCTCTTCCTCAGGCTGCACATCCATAACCCGGCCTCGCCTCCAGGATGCCCTGTCTGCTCCTCTGTGCAGAGGAGAGGTGAGGCGAGGGCAGCTGGGTCGGGCAGGGCAGCAACAGAGGTGACCTTGAAAGTACCGGGCAGCCCCTCACATCAGAGGCGTGTCCATGGGACTACGGTGGGGCAATGGTCGCTGTGGTACTTACAGATCAAAGACGAGGTAGTGGAAGCCTTCCTCGGAGATACTGTCATGCAGACGCACTGTGGAGACAGAGGGGAGAGGGCCCTGAGGAGCTGACCGAGACAGGATGTGCCCTCCGTTGGCCAGGCTGCCGGACACACTGGTCTACCCCGACTCACCCATCAGCCCTCAAGAGAGGAGAGTCCCCACCCCAAGGTGCGGCAGCGCTGGGTGAACTAAACAGGAGAATGAGGGGAGGGCTTGGAGGTGTCTTCGGGTCTTCTGGGCCCAGGTGTGTCCCAAGCAGCCTGCAGGTCGGCCAGGGGCGTTCAAAACCCCACAATTTGAGGCGAGCAATCGTGTTGGGTGGTGTTACACTCTAGTGCCGGCCCCCTGCCAGCAACCCGTCTGGTCCCCTGCTTTCTGTAGCGTGCCCCCACTTCTCCTGACGAAGCCCAGGCTCCCCTCCGTCCTGTGGGTAACTTCACCCAACTACGGCCCGGGGATGCAGGACCCCTGAGGGCAGGCTTGGTGTGGCAAAGCAGTGCTCAGGACGGACCCTGGCAGCATCCAGTCTCTCCCTGCACCGGGCACACAGTGCTGGGGGGACGGAGGCACTGGCCTAAGGCTCACTGGCCAACATGGTATTGCTCAGAGAGGGTCGGCCCCAAGTTCACAGTTCCCAAACGGACACCAACTTGGAGAAAAGGGCTGGAAGGAGTCCCAAGTCCTCCTGCGCTCCCGTGGCTGTGACTGGATTGTTTGTGTGCGCTCCGTCCTCGGTCCTTGGGCACGGAGCAACACCTAGTGGCACTGGCTGAGATCTGCCGACGGGCTGAGCAGAGGAGTGAGTTGACACAGCAACATGACTTGAAGCAAACATTGTTCTCTTTCCCTGGGAGCTGGAGGTGCCCCCTGTACTCATCCCGAAGCACGTTATTTCCGAGGAGTGACTCATTTTGGACCCTGCTCTCTGTGTCAAACCCACCCTCAACTAGAGCAGCAATGGCAGCACTGGGC